CCTGCTGAATTGAGTACTGTTGTCTGAATCTGAACAGGAGAGCTAGGAAGTGATGCTGTACTGTTTTGGGGTAGAAGAAGATTATGTTTTTCTGGAGTATGTTTTAGCTAGCTGAGAATATATCCTTCCAAAGTACAGAAAAGCATTTTAATCTGCCTCTAAAATAATGTTCTAGAACATTCTCCCTGCCCCCACACCTCTCTGTGAATGAAATAACTGTACTGCGGATAGGCTGCCTATCCGGCACTTTCGACTGCAGACTTTTGTGAATGTTTACAGGCATGGGTTGAGTTCTTCTCCCCCTTATACTCATAAAATCACTTGTTCTTGGTATGCTTTTCAGCTGTGTACCACAACTTGATATGGTGCTTATGTTATCTGGTGAATATAAGTGGGAGCAGAATTTGGACCATGGATTTTTTTAGTATTTTTCCTTGGAAAACATACATGATTTTAAAGGCATATACCTAAATTAACTGTATTGGTTGGGAAGGGTTATGATGCAACACATAGAGAGGTCTTGCTTTGTTAGTGAAATTCAGTTGTGCACTCTTCTAATAATGTTAGTACCTGTGGCAATGTGTGACACATCGTTGAATATCATCTATTTAAGATAAACTCTTGATCGTATTCTGGAGACAATAGAGAGGAATGATATTCAATCCTGTGATTAAATTAAAATGTAGAGGATACTATGCTGTAGAAAAGCTCTGCACCTAGAGTTTTACTTTTTTAAAGATGAATTCTGCTGGGAGATGTTACTAATGTATTTTCTTTCAAGATGTGAACAGACTTTTTTAGAACATTAACAGAAATTCCTGTATTGGTTTTTAACACAATTTTTTAAAATAAAAAGTTTACAGTCATAGCAAAAAGGCTTTGCTGACTATTTACATATTTGCCTAAAATACAGATGAATAAACTTGTTTTTCCAGAGACACTTCCTAATATTTGCTCTTGCTTATGCTGTTTCTTCATGATGCAAACTATATGCTGAATTATAAAACTGGTTTCCTAAAGAGTGGCGATAGAAATATCCTATGAAGTATTTAGATAAAAGTTTGAAATAGTGTCCTCAATATTTTGTCAGTAATTGGGTGATCTTGCATTTTAGTAATCAAATTTACATGCTACTTTAAATCAAGATAAAAGCATATTGCAGTTTTACTTTTTTTTTTTTTATATACCTGTTGAATTCTAATGATTCTCAACTCTGAACTGCTTTTAAAATAGGTGCCTTATATCTTGATTCAAGAAATGTGTGGAAAAAATATCATTTTTCATTATACTTCCCATCTCATTCTTTTCATGATTTGTTCATTGTCGAGCTAAAGATCAGTTGGAAAAGGAGAAAATAAAAAAATACAGGTATCCTCTTGAGCAAATTGGGGTTTGTCCCATAGATGTGAATGTGTGTATTATTTTTCTCTCTGAATGTCAGACAACTAACATAACCCTAAAAGACTGTGAAGCCCTGTTTCTCCAAATGAGTATTAAATGCTTTTCTCCTGAAACAATGTAATTCCTAAGTGGTATCTAGCCACTGTACCTAGAGAAGTGTTTCATGCACAGCTGGTGTAGTTTCATACAGAAGCTTATCATCAGTGTTAGACAAAAAAACAAAGAGGTTAGCAAGTGTTGAAACTGTCAAGTTGTGGGTTGTTTTTTTTTTGTAGAATGGACTCTCTGGTTCTTAGTGAATCAGATTGGGCAAGATTTAGTAAATTGAATTTTCTCATGGTTAGGATTAAGGTAAGTTTCAATTTCTTAAATATTTGTCCTGATGTAAAATTGTTTTTTATTAATTTTTTTCTCTTCAGGAATAAAGTCTGTTCTGCATTGCAGCAAAGTCCTGTGGTGTCCAGCCTTGGAATTTCTGAAGGGGGGTGATTTGTCCTGGTCTCTTTCATGCTTACTTGAGCACCATTTTTTAAAAGCCAAGGAAGAGTCTGCTTCTGAGGCAAATCATGCCCAATCTTACACCAAGCCTGTGCTGGGAAAGGCCTGTTACTGTAAGACTTAATTCTGAACTATGATTTTTTCATTCTTAAAGTTCCATATTACTGCTGTATTTCTGCTGTGTTAACAAACAGCAAAGATAAGGTGTGAAGAAACATTTTTTGAAATAAAATCGGTATTTGGAACAACTAAGAACATACTAGGATTGTGTTTGCAAATGCAAGTTTCAATATTTCTTTCAAGTGCTTTAATTGCAGCTATAGTGAATATGAGAGACAATACAAGAGACAAATGTTCTGTCTTTCTCTAATTTGCGAGTGATATGAGTTTAGCTGGGCCCAGAAGGACACTTAGAATCATAGAATGGTTTGGTTGAAAGGGAGCTTTAAAGATCATCTAATTCCAACCCCCATGCATTGGCAGGGACACCTCTCACTAGACCAGGTTGCTCAAAGCCCCATCCAGCCTGGCCTTGAATACTTCCAGGGAGGGGGCATCCAGAACTTCCCTGGGCAACCTGTTGCAGTGTCTCACTACTCACACTACAGAATGTCGTCCTAATGTCTAAACCTACCTTTTTCCAGTTTGAAACTGATCCCACTCAACCTATCACTACATGCCTCTGTAAAAAGCCCCTCTCTGGCTTTCCTGATGACTTTTTGATACCTTTGGGATTGGCATTGTTTAGAAATGATTGCATGTAAGAATTTCCATTCTGTTCTCAGCAACCTTTGAGGTGGGTGTTTGGTCTGTAGAATTAAGTCTGTACAACTGGATAATGAGAGAAGTGGGAGCAACTGGACATTTAAGAGCAATTGTAAACAACTGATGCTGTTTGCAAATGTAGCAGTTGGTGCAAAGAACTGCTGGAGGTTGGCCTGCTTACAGGTAAGCACCTAATTATCGTGCCTGGCATTTTCCTTTATGCCACTGTCAGAACAGAAGCTGAAGGTTTTAGGTATGTGAGCGCACTGCAGGTAAGAGCTGAACTGACCCAAACCATGTTCATCTAATGTTGCTTCTAAGACAGTAAGTCCTCCTAAAGTGGCTTTGGACTCTAAGCTGCTTTTTGTTGCTGTTTTGTGAGACAAGGCTGTGACTGGTCCTACAGCACCAGTGAACTTGCAGCTTATGAACTGCTATGCCCCAGAGCCCTCATGTGTTTTCCTGTCTGAGTTTTATAGCATTCTGGGAAGAGTTGTCCCTATGTCCCCCCACAAGTATAGCCCCAAGGAGAAAGTATTAAAATAGTTCTGCTTTTGACTTCTAATTTTTGAAATGGGAATAGAAGTGCAGCTGAAGTTAACAAAGAGAAACTAGTACAGCAGTGTTCCTGAACACAGAAGAAAAATGCCATCTGCCTTAGTCACCTTCCAAAGGATATATTTAGAGGCACCTCAGAATTAGAAAAAAACAGCAGGGAGCAATTATTTCTGTTAGAATTTCATATGTTTTGCTCATCTGTCTGATGGCATAAGCAACTATGTAGATGCTGGCATTCAGATGGCTTGGGATAAAGTTCTTTTCAATAAAACCAAGTTGCTCTAAAATACATATGTATGTGTGTGTGTATGTTGGGGTGGTCTTGCATATTATGGTTTTGCTTATGAAATCATTAAAGCATGTTTTTCTTCTAACTGTTCACCCTACTGCTGCCCTACTAGTAGGCATCTATCCTGACCATGTTTGATCTTACAGCTCAGCATGAGAAGCCAAGTAATTAGGAAAATGCTACAAATTACTTCAAATGGATATTGTCCCATATTTGGGAGGGTATTGCAATAAGCACGTCAATCCCAGGTTTGTTAGCTGTTCGTGCTTATGGTTTTCACTGATTTGAAACCTCCATTGGATGGTGTAGCTTCCTCTCTGTGAGAGTGGGAAAGGATCCTCTGGGAAGCAGTCAGCTTTGAATGACCCATCTGGGACCAATGTCATTACTGGCAGAGATGAAGACTTACATGAAACTTAAGTTGGAGACAGATCCTTGAAGATATTCTAGATGATGGATGCCCACGGAAAACAGCCATATAATTAACACAGCTATATGTCAAACTCATAAATTGCATCTGAAAAGCCACCTCTCATTTTTTCTCAAATTACAAACAACAGATTTGTGTCCTCTAAGAAGGTTGTTCTCTGCTGCAGCAGCCTTCAAGAATAGCTTAGGCTGAAATGCTCTGCTTGGTTTGATTATCGGTATTGAAAAGTGTTTTGTGAAAAACTGACTTTGGAGCTGAAATTCTTCTACTGTGGTTTTTACGTTATCTGGCACAACGGGGTTCAATCTACTGTGATGTACAGTATCAAGAAATGCACGATGAGCTATTCTACACAGCACAGGAACCTCACCTGGAGGATTATTTATGTTGCTCATGCTTGAGGTCTGAACAGATGCTAAGCACCATTATATGAAGAGGTGTAAAGCAGGGGATCAATCCTCAATCTGTAACACCCTCTAGCTTTATAGAATCATAGAACAATTTAGGTTGGAAAAGACCTTTAAGATCATGGAGTCCAACTGTTAACCCCGCACACTGCCGAGTCTACCACTAAACCGTGTCCCTAAGCACCACATCTACACATCTTTTAAATACCTCTGGGGCCAGTGGCTCAGCAGTTTCCCTGGGCAGCCTGTTCTAGAGCTTGACAATCTTTGCAGTGAAGAAATTTTTCCTAATATCCAATTTAACACCCACCCCCCCCCAGGCACAACTTGAGAACATTTCCTCTCCTATCACTTGTTACAAGGGAGAAGGGACCGACAGCCACCACACTGCAACCTCCTGTCAGGTAGTTCTAGAGAGCAATTAAGTCTCCCCTCAGCCTCCTTTTCTTCAGACTGAACAGCCCCAGCTTCCTCAGCTGCTCCTTATAGAACTTGTTTACACTTTTATCTCCCCTTTCTCCTCTTGTTTTTTTCATTTTGGTGACAGATGTTAGTGGTTCATAGAAATAATTTTCAGCTTGGATTTTTGTGGGGTGTAGAATCAGCTGCGCCAAGTGCATCTCCAGCCAGAGGACCATTGAGTTACATCTGAGACAACCCTGGTCCACAGGACTGTGTAAACATCCCTCTCTCACCAGGGTAACTAACTCTCAGAAGGCTCTCTGGGGATTTCTTCTCTCACCCTGCTTCTCTGCTCAGTGCTTTGCATGAGGACTCCTGTTTCAAAGTGTGCTGCTGTCTCATCTGTGAGGGGAAAAGCTTACCTTGAATGGGATGGATTCCCAGAGAGACACCCAAGAAAAACAACACAAAGCGTCTAATTGGTAAGACTGTGTATGTCACTTGTTTCTCAATAATAACAAAACTGAGCGAAAATAATCAAGCAAAAAAAGTATATTAGTTTCCAGGCATTCATGTCTCTCATGTAGGCTGGAAATGAAAATTCCGGTGGGATTGATTTGGGCACTTACAGAAAGCAAGAGGGTACTTTGTGGTTACAAAATGCTGCAGCTACTCCATCTCTTATTTGTTGATGGTTTTTGCCCACCATTCTTTATAATCTTCACAAGACAACATGGGCATGAGTTTTTCATTTGATTTTCAAGTTTGATACCCACATCATGGTTTTGAGTATCAAGTGTGTTCATTATAATAGAATCATAGAACCATTTAGGTTGGAAAATATGTTTAAGATCATAGACTCCAAATGCAAATGAGTATCTCAAGAAAAAAAGTGAATCTTAGAGGAGTGTCCTGGAGCTTTTCCACAACTGTTGATGGATGAGCTTTCACATCGTGGTGCATTGCAGTTCTTGGTTTGCTCAAGACTGGATTCAAGTGAGGTTTTTGGTGGTTATGACTCCTGTAATCCAAATACAGGAATGGCAATACAAGGTCACTGATATGTTGACTTGTGACTGATCCTTATTCTTCCTTATTGTGTTTTTCTGGACTCTTCCATTTGTCTTGTGGTAAAATGGTTTGAAACTTCGGGGTACTCTTAGAACATCTGTGACATTTTCTTGAGATGTAGGTCTGGCTTAACTTACTATAAAGGCAGGCTGTCCTATCCTTCTTTTCTCCTTGGAAGCCATGCGGCAACAAGATCTCTAGAACAGTTATCATGCTGTCACAGTCCTAACCCAGTTTGGGATTGAAGCCGCCTTATCTCAGGGCACAATCGCCCTGTTTGTCTATCAGGATTTTCTGACACCAATTATATATATTCAGGACAGCCTCTGAATTACTTCATAGAACAACAAGGGATTCCAAGTTACTGTTGGTTGGAAAGGGTCAGGAGGAAAGCCAGGCCCCTGGTGCAGCTGCTTTGTGCCCAACTCTCAGGGCAGTCAAAGGGAGGCCTGAAACTTGGCCCTCTCGGACACAAGCATATTTATGTGAGTGATTAAATATGTAGTGGGAGATTCCTTCTCAGAAGTAGGAAGGGCAAAATTGCAGGCAGCCAAGAGCTTGGTTGGAAGCCTCAGGTTTGCAGCTGGTATTCCCTGCAGCTACAGTCCAGCCATGCACACAGGTAGGGGAGAGAGGAAAGAGCTGTGCTCTTCTGTCTCCTCCTCTAGCCTTGCTGGAGGTTTTCTGACAAACCTGCCAGTCCTGCTCCACTGGTCTGTTACCAGATCAGGTAGCCTCAGGCTCTTTCACTTTGGTGACAAGTTTTTTCTCACAATGTATAAAATTGTATTCTGTTTATCAGTTTCTATCTCCATATGTATTTTATTTGATGTCAGAAATTCCCGGTGCTACCATATGCCTTTGAAGTAACATATCCCAAACACTGCATCTTTCCATCAGCATGGGCAAGGGTCTCTAAGGAGACCTCTGAACATTCATCTCTCCATCCTGCCTCTCCCTCTTGCATTGGGAAATAGGCTGTGGTGTTCACTTTCCCCTTCGCTGATGCTCATGCCTGCAAAAATCCTTTTCTGGCCCAAACCTGGCAGCCAGGCAACACTTGGGGCTAGCTCAGCCCACTTCCCTGCTGCTTCTGTTTTTCTCATGACTCTCCTGATCTCAGGTATTTCTACATTTAGCAAAGTTCCGTTGACCTTGCAGCACTGTGTCCTGCAAGCACGACTGTCCTGGTTCACTCTTTGAGCACTTCCATGCCTTTTAGAGGACATAACAGCTCCAGCTGTTCTTCTCTTCAAAGAGCAGCTGCTCCTTGATCACCTTTTCCTTAGAAAGAGCCTCCCAAACTTTTAGTACTTCAACAACAACTTACCTTCAGGCACTTCAGTGCCTTCCCTTCAGGCACTAAAATAGTGAAATCATTTTTATATTTTTTGATTATGAAATAATGAAATTCTGTACCCTCATCCAGGTCATTGATGAAGATGTTGAACAACACTGGTCCCAGTACCGACCCCTGAGGGAATCCACTAGTCACAGACCTCCAACTAGATTCTGCCCCATTGACTACGACTCTCTGATTTCTTCCTTTCAACCAGTTCCTGATCCATCTCACTACCTGATCACCAAACCCATACTTGATCAACTTATCTACAAGGATGCTGTGGGAGACGGTGTCAAATGCTTTACTGAAATCAAGATAAACCACATCTACCGCTCTACCATCATCTATCCACCTAGCAATTTCCTCATAGAAGGCTATGAGGTTAGTCAAACATAACTTACCCTTGGTAAAACCATGTTGACTGCTCTTGATGACCCCCATGTCCTTGATATGCCTGGAGATAGTGCCAAGAACAAGTTGTTCCATCACCTTTCCAGGGATGGAGGTGAGGCTGACCGGTCTATAGTTACCCGGGTCCTCCTTCTTGCCCTTCTTGTAGACTGGAGTAACATTTGCTATCCTCCAGTCCTCAGGCACCTCTCCTGTTACCCATGACTTACTGAAGATGATGGAGAGTGGCCTAGCAATGACCTCCGCCAGCTCCCTCAGCAGCCTTGGATGCATTCCATCCAGACCCATCCATTTATGGATGTATAAAATCATTAACAGCTCTTTCTACCAGTAACAAAGAGGATAACCAGAATTTATTATTACAGAAGAAATGAATTCAAGTTATGGGATTCACTTACTATTGAAACAGTTGTTTAAAGGCAATGTACAACATTTTGCCCCTGTTTAAACTTGGTGATACTGGGTAGCTGCCTTGAAGTAATTTCACAGGGGAATGACAAATCAAAATAAATATTTTGTTTCCTTGAATTATCAGGGCCTTTTCCTCACAAAGGGGAAAAAATCCTTGGCAAAGGATTTGTTATTGGATCCCTCTCTAATTCCGTACATTTTTTGAATGCAGATTCTCACAAAAGATTCTGTGGATGGGATTCAAGTGGATGGGATGGTGTACTACAAGATCCACAGTGCTGTCAGCACCGTTGCTAATGTCACTGATGTCCACTCAGCCACATTCCTCTTGGCACAGACAACCCTGAGGAATGTTCTGGGTACACAGAGCTTGGCTCAGCTCCTGGCAGGTCGTGAGGAGGTCGTGAGGTCGTGGCTTTAGAATTCACTGACGAGCATGGAGATATTGTGCACAGTATCCAGGTAAATCTGGCTTTAGAATTCACTGACGAGCATGGAGATGTGTTCTGGGGAGTAGCAAATTAGAAACAATCTCTCTTTCTTTAACAATGACAACTGGATTTTCCTTTATGGTTTGTTTTGGTTTTGTTGTTGTTTGTTGGTTGTGGTTTTTTTTGTTTGTGGATTTTTTGTTTGGTTTTTGTTTGTTTGTTTTGGTTTTGGTTGTTCTGTTTTTAATTAAATGTCTCATTGCTTAGGGTCAGAAAGAGTTACTCTCAAGGTATTTCCCCAGGTTCCTGTAGAAGAGCTGTTTCCTATCAAAAAGCAATGAAGATTCTGAAATTGTCCAGCAACTTATATAAGTCAGTTTAGTCTTTACACAGAGGCTGCTGCTCGTGGAAAGCTCCATCTGTCTTGAGCAGACCTGTTGACTGAGGCTTAGTTAAGGCAAGGCTTGTATCTTCTGTCATTACAACTAGGAGGACAAAACCAAGTTGTTTCATGCTTTAAAATGACATAGGAACACGGAATCATAGAATGATTTGGGTTGGAAGGGACCTTAAAGATCATCTAGTTGCAACATCCACTGCTATGGGCAGGGACACCTCCCACCAGACCAGGTTGCTCAGAGCCCTGTCTAACTTAACCTTCAACACTTCCAGGGAAGAGGCATGCATAACTTCTATAGGCAACCTGTTCCAGTGTCTCACCTCCCTTTGTTTTTTTATTTCGCAGCCAAGGAAGGAGCAGAGAAGAAATCCAACCTCTGACTTACTCTTCTCAGTCAAAGACAATGCATAGTCAAATCAAAGATGGCCTGTACTCCTCTGCAGCCAGGGCAGAGCTGGGGTCATGGTGGTGATAGGGGTTGCAGTGGCACCCTGGAGCCTGCGCACAGAATGCCACAGGGCTAGGAAGTCACTGTAGGATTACTTTGTGAAAGGAAGACTTTTGGTGAGTGACCACCTGGAGAAAGGATGGGGATGATAGTTTAGGAGGCAGTGGAGAAGCCGCACAGGAGACACCGGCATTTAGCAGCAAGAGTTTCATAAGGTTGTGGTTCCCACTGTACTCACACCCCATTGGACATCAGTGTCCCAGGAGGGCTCCGTGCATCTGTTGTGCTGTGGCCTTTCTTTCTTTCTGAGCAGCAGGGCACAAGGCCTGGTTTTATCTCTGCTCTTCATGGGTGGTTGTCTCTTTGTCCTTCAGGCTATTCTTGACAGTGCCATGGAGCAGTGGGGTATCATAGTGGGTCATGTGGAGATCAAAGATGTCAGGATTCCTGTGGCCATGCAGAGGACAATGGCAGCAGAAGCAGCAGCTGCTCGAGAGGCAAGAGCTAAGGTGAGACCCACAGCAACGTCTATCCCCAAGCTCCCATATCCTTGTTCCAGGCATCCAAGTGCCTGTTTGTTTATTCCTCATCATAAAGGTGGATTTTCCCCACTATGAGCAGCATCACAATGCCTTTTCCATTTCTCTTACTTTGCAGGCTGTGGCAGCAGAGGGAGAAATGAATGCTTCTAAGGCCCTGAAGCAGGCCTCCATGGTGCTGGCCGAGTCTCCAGCAGGGCTTCAGCTGCACTACCTGCAAACTTTAACAACCTTGGCAGCAGAGAATAGCTCCACCATTGTCTTCCCTCTCCCTATAAATATGCTTGAGAGTTTGGAGCAGAAAAACAGAGGGGGCTAGAGACTGTTCTACACTAGATCCTTGGGTAGAGGGATTTAAATTGTTTCACAGGAAGCAAGGGCTTCCAGATTACCAGGATGAAAGTCAATGCATGCATGGGTCCTCTGTACCAAAAAAAAAAGAGTAAAAATGGTTTAATAATCACACATAGCTCCCACATGAGGAGACTGCATTTGCAAGGTTCAAGCACTAAGCAGTTTCAGCTTAGAATCATGTCCAAGTGAAATGGAAAGAATATATGCAAAATGCAATCAAATATGTAAAATCCATGTCAGACTTAATATGAAATTTTAATTATGCTTTTCACCACATTTTACAGAGTCTTGAGTGTAGAAATTATTTGAATATTTGTCTGCTAAGCAAGAACCTATGAGCTCTTGGTGTACTCCACACAGTGAAACTGTCAGATACCGGTATTTAACTTGAGTCCTGTGGAGTGGAAAGAAGGATTTGGCCCCTAACCTTAGGGGTGTTCTTTCATAACTGTTGGCAAGAGTTACTGGATCATTGGTATGTCAGTGGAATGACCTATATTTTGTCTTACATGAGTAGAAATCAGCACTTGTTTTGCTGACCTCAGCTGGATTTTGCCATATCACTGGCACTTCTAATAAGCTCATAATAAAAGAGAATATAAGTCCAGGTATTACAGTCATATTTCCTAAATGTGAAAGCTGGGGCAAACCTCAAAGAAAACAAATTGTCCTATGTTAATTTAAGTGCCTGTCTTGCACCTTCAGGAGGTTTCTTATCCTCCTTGGCAGTTGTAATGAAGCTGTGGTGCAGGTTTTTATAGATCAAGCCTTCCCCACCCTCCATTCAAGCAATACCTGGCAGCTGAGTGGGGCATGTGGCTCATACCTGAGTTGAGCTGTCATTACACTCGAGTTTACAACCTTCAAAAATATCTGGGCAGCTTGCAGTTGCTGACATGCAGTCATGGAGTGTCTGTTAGGAATCTGAAGGTTCTTGTGGGGGAGCTGCTTAGGTAGGTGCTGCTGATGTGTAGTGCCTCCTCTACACAAGGCTTGCTCCTCCCCCTCCTATCCAGTGGGGTCATTTGACTCCAAAAGTACCAGATCAGCATTAACTTACTAGTTATCATATTGATCCAGGCCCTTCTTATTTTTAACTGCAGTGTAACACACACAATCCAGGTGGCAAATTTTTGCATTCAGTAGCTGCAGGCACAAAGACAGGGGTATGAGCATCTGAGGATGGTGATCTGTTCAGCAATCACAGCTTTTCATTGCAGCTCTTATCAGCTTCAGACATGACTGCTAAAGGGAATTTTGGCAGCAAACTAAAGAAGTTAAACCTGTATTTACAAGTCATCTACTTAGTAATGTTATAAATTTATATTTTTTTACAGGCTATTTCTTATGCTAAGAGAGGTTTTGAGTTTTGGGGTTATTTTTCACAATCAACGTAGTTTGCCATTTGTGGAAGCCTTTCTAACTGTGTCAGCAAAATCACCACCTTTCCCTGGAAAATATTTCCCTGACAGAGCTGTTTGCACAGCCTCAGAAGCAGCAAAGCTTTAGAAAAGTCCAACCGCAGATTGTGTCAGGTTTCCATCAAAGTAATTAAAAATTAATTAAACTCTAGGAACAAAAAAATAAAAAGGAAAAAAAAAAAAAGGGCTTGAAAGTCTTGTGACTACAGAGGGAAATTAAAAAGCAATTCTGTGCCCTCAGTGAGCTACTGACACTAACTAGCCCATGCAGGACTCTTGGGTCAGGCACAGGACACATCCAGTGCAGTTGCCCATCCCTGATGCTGGGCTAGTTCCAGTTCCAGCTTCAGAAGTGTGTATGGGAATCCTGCTATTGAACAAGTGGGGTAATTTGTTCCCCTACTGAGGACTCATAAATAAAATAAGAAATTAACTGATGTGCTGAAGCATGAGTGTTAGTATCTCTTTTCTTTCGGTAGCAGTGTAACTCAGGCTGTGCTTGAGAAGGCCATGAACATCCAGACTTCTTTCTGAGCCATGCAAATTGCTTGGCTTCTTTTATGTTTGTTTGTTTTGTTTTGTTTTGTTTTGTTTCGTCTTTGTTGTGTTTTGTTTTGTTTTTGTCCAATGATTTTCCATTTGACACTGCAGGATAACTGCTTTGTTATATAATGGATCAGGGAGGCACAAATTCCAGCTCTCTCTTCACCAGTCTCAGGCACAATAAACACAATAACTAGTACAGTAACTGCAATTTTTGTTGTATTACCCCCCACACATACATCTACAAGAAGAAACCCCAATAGGCAAAACAAGTAGCAACAGAAGCAGCCCTTCAACGTCTCAGGTGCCACTCTGATGCACGGAATTGGCAAAGAAAGTTCAGGAAGAAGCCAAGTTGTAGTCACATAGATAAGATGTGAGGAGCAGAGCAGGCGTTCAGAGGCGGCACGGGTTGTCAGGGCTGTTCATGAAGTCCTGCAGCTCAGCACAGTCTTGCCGGCGCAGGGTGGTGCGGCACTCGCTGTCTTCGGGAATTTTCTCTACCCAGGCTTGTGCATCAAGGAGGTACTGCATCCTGAGTGCAAGCAGGACAGGTAAAGGAGGTGAGTCACTGCTGCTGATGTAGAGCAATGGGAAAGCTTAAACCCTGTGACATTGCATCCCACTGAGGCATCTCTGAGATTGGGAGGAGTTACAGTAGCTAAGAAACTTGCCTGAAGCCTAATTTCACTACAGGTTAACTGAGTTTTGAAAGTCTGGAAAGTGTCAGTGCCAAGCTGGGACAAACCTGGCTGCACTTGTGCTTTGAGTGAAATCAGGGAAGCTTGGGCTAAGTTTCTATTAGAGTTTTCTGGAGTGGCAAAAAAAGCCCCCAGTGAACACCAATGGGGCACAGGGAAGGGGTGCTGAGTTTCAACAGAGTATCCCAAAACATTTCTGAATTTTCTGGTTAGAAGCCGTGTAGCTTCTGGCATTTTATGCCTGGACTGGAGAAGACTTTGGAGGTTGCACCTCTGGTGCGAATCTTCAGCCTTTAGCAGCCTTCTGTTGAAGTAGGTCTCCAGCTTCACCCTCATGTTTGTGTCATATAGAGAGGGGGAGAGGGGAGTTATTAATGTTTTAGGAAATGGTGCTCACAGTTTGTTTGAGGAGGTCTCCCTCCTAGAAGCTTTCAGAGGGACTACCTTTCTCCATTTTCTGTGTAGTGAAATGAAACATTTATGTCTTCCTTGCTGAGTATTTGATAGTCTCAGACTAAATCCTCCTCAGATAAATTCCCTTTTTTCATTAAAGTATGACCATGAGAAATTAGAAGAATATGATATTTGCATGCATGATATAACACAGACTTTGTGAGCTGCTCTTAGCCATGGTCCCATCAGTTTCTTTTGCAAACACAGGGGCTGTGTAAGGCATCTGCGGTGGATGGAACTGTGTAGTGTTTCCCATTCTCCTTTTGTAGCTGAGTTTTAACCCAGTGGAGTAAGGGCCAGATTTTGATTCTGAGAAGCGTGGGAACCAGGCTCTGCACAGATAGATGAGTTGATAGATAGAGCTGTGTTCCCCACAGCTTGGCTTCTGCCTATGGAGTGGTACTCTTCACATTTTAGTAAAGCTGGCAGAATCAGCCCTTAAGAAATTTTGCCTTCCCTTTGCTTTGGGATGTATTCTAATAGAGAAACTCCTGAGTTCATAGTCTGGTAGCAGCCACTGCTGCTCAGAAACCATTGCACTTACTTGTTGTTGCAATCAACTGTTTGCCCATCTTTCCCCATGAGGAGGTAACGTTTGCCAACAACTACATTTAACTTGCACGTGGAACGCTTTAGGAACTGTCGGTGGGCACCCACTTGGATGCTTTCATCAGCAGCTGTGGCACAAGAAAAGAAAACCACATTAACTTCTCCAGTAAAGAGCAGAACCATAACCCACAGGACACAACCAGTTGTGTTAATAATCAAAGTACTCCAAACAGTGCAAAGAGTGCACATCTGTAAAATTATGTTTTGCTGACTCCCAAACACAAATAAGTGTTTCCATCTGTCTCCTGAACTAACATTTTATTTGCAAGGACTGGTACTGAAATAATGCCCCGGGGTCCAGGGAATGAGTATTCACCCTACTAGTTCTCATTGATACCCTTGATAACGGCAACAGAGACCATCCTCATTCAAAACAGCTCCATAAAACACAAAAGATGATAACTCTCGTTCAGTCATGAACTGTTTTGAGTGCAGTGCCTTCTTTTTCTTCATCATCATGACTTCATGCCTCTTCCCAGCCTTTCTGAAGCCTGCTGAAAGCTCGTTGATGTTCATAAGCTGCATCATACAGCACAAACCAAAGGGAATTTCAAAGAGATCAAATATAAGGATGTGGAAAAGAGGGAACTCTTCTTCAAATTCAAAAGATGTTTCTCTCAGCTGCCAAGAAACAAAATATTCCCAGTGCTTGCCTGTGACTTGTCAGTACAAACGCACTGGGGCCTAGAGCTCTAAATCCTTTTAGATCCTGTGGGTTTTCTGGAAGGATTAATGAAATTTTCCATCATGGTACAGTAATTCCCCATAGCTGCTGTTTTGATCAATAGGTACAGTAACATTTCCTTGCATATGAAAAGTCTTGGGTGTTACTGATGCTGTCTCTGGACACACAAAATATGGACTTAATTTTTGGCCAGGGACTGGACAATGGGCTCAGATAACAAGTTGTGTGCTGTGACATACTGGGTGACATTGCCAGTCCCCTGGGCAAAGATCAAAGGAGATAATTATTTGGTTGCAGACAGGGAAGATTTTGAAACCTCTGAAGTTGCTTTTTAAAGGCAATCTCTGGCTGCCAAGCTCAAAACTGACAGCCACATGACACCACAGTGGTTGAAGGCTGAGATGTCACCTGACAGCCTCTCCAGAAATTACTTTGAAGAATATCACTGTTCACTGATTCTGCTAATAAAGTAAGGTTCAGTAAGGGGTGGCAGGCCTAAAAGAAGATGTTTTCTGAGAGAGTGCAAATCTTTACACTGCACCTAAAGAAACAGAGAAATTCCTCTTTGTTTTTATCATTAAAACAAAGTTATGGAAGTTTTCCTGTGTTCATTGACTACAGGCAAGGCATTGTAGACAACTCTTAGCCTGTTCTGCAAGGGTTGCTAGTGCTTAATAATTAATTAACAAGCACTTAAAATCTTCATCTAGCATCAAAACAGAGATCCATGGGTATGATAACAGTAGAAAAAATGTAGCTCTGTTCAGCTGTAAAGTGGAAGAGTTAATGCAGAAGATCTATTATCCACGCTATGCATATTTTTGGAGGGTTTATCTTAGACCAGCTCAAGTTTTGAGCCATGGACTGAATGCAGCTGAAATGTGTCTTCTGGTTTAATTTCATCTGAAGGGATTGAAACTCATGTACTCTGGGATTGGTGCACAATGTGACCCAAAGCAACCTACCTCTGAGCTGAACTGGGCAGTGAGGTAGCTGCAACAAATGAGCCTTGCAAGGAATCAGTCTTCTTACAAACCTAGTGTAGAAATGTATCTGACCCTACTTCCTACAGCAAGAAAAGGCATCTGCATGGCTGCCACAGTCACCTCCCCTGTTACAGGGGGAGTCATAGATCTCCTGGTGGTGCCTGAGCCAACAGGACAAAGATGTGACCTTGAAGTCCCAGCAATTACAAAAACATTCCAACGTTTGTTAGCATTCCAAGTTGGAACACTTTGCTACTAGTTAAAAGAAAGCTCACTGAAGGAAAAAAAATCAGTAAAAGGAAAATTGGCTTCATCCTGGCTCAAACTAGGACAATGGCTCATACTGGCGAACATGTAATCAACCAGGTTTTCCTACAGGGGAATGAAAGGAGCCAAACGTTTTGATACTTACTGGCTTTAAGGATTCTGTGGATTTTGCCCTCATAGTAATCAAAAACATTCTTCTGTGTACTACTGAGGATCTCCACCTCATACACTGCAATAGAAAACAACTGTGTGAGGCCAGATGGAAACATGAAGTTACATCCAAAATGTAAAAATAGTTATACTTTTACCAGATGTCTATTTACAGAGGCTGGTGTACCATCTATTCACAAATTATGAGGATATGAAAAATAGTAATACGAAAAATAGTAATCCTGTATATTTAATATGTTTTAGAAAGTCAAGTATTCATAAATGACCTCTAGATTTGTGATGTTGGTTTGTTGTGGGTTTTTTTTTGTTTTGTTTTGTTGTTGGTTTTTTTTGTTGTTTTTTTTTAAATAAGCTCCTGTAAAAGTTTTCACTTTTTTTTCCTGTCCTTCTGTTAACATCTAACTTACCAAAGCTGCTGAAC